TTTCCTGTGTTTTTTTTTTTTTTTTTTTTTTTTTCGGTACGCGGGCCTCTCACTGTTGTGGCCTCTCCTATTGCGGAGCGCAGGCTCAGCGGCCATGGCTCACGGGCCTAGCTGCTCTGCGGCACGTGGGATCTTCCTGGACCGGGGCACAAGCCCATTTCCCCTGCATTGGCGGGCAGACTCTCAACCACTGCGCCACCAGGGAAGCCCTACGCTGTATTGTTTATAACTGACATTTTTCATGTTGACACACACAGATATTATTTTTACCATTATCATAGTTATCATATTATTCGTAGGTCCCACTGTAACCAAATCAACAGGCCACAGGTGTGTAAACAGAAACCATTCCTCTAACTTGCTCCCAATCCTAACCCCAAGAGGTAACTACTTATTAACAGCTTGGTTTTCGTACCCTTTCAGAATCTCTATACCTGTATTATATATGGATACACAAGCACACACACAGTTTTGTGTTTTGCTGAATAAAAACGGGATTAAATTACCCTTTCTGTCCTGCAGCTGTTTCCACCCATCAGTTTATGGTAGCAATCTTTCCACCTCAGGTCAGAGATCTATCTCATTGCCCCTAACAGTTACGTAATGATAGTGTATGAATGCATCATACTTTATCCATTTAATCATCGACTTCTGGATGTTTAGCTTGCTTGGTGCTTCCATTTTAAGAATTTCTATACAACAGTGTGAAGAATGTCCTTGTGTTTACTACCCTTTGCTCACTCTCCAGTTTCAGTGACCTGTTAGCAACCTTGGGTGTGCATGCTGTGAACACATCTGCCACGGGATTCTGATGTGCTGAAAACCACTGGGCAGAGAAAACGGGCTTCTTAATGGGCCCAAGTATGGCCAGGGGACTTTGTCCCAAGTACATCCAGAGCCATGGACAGAACGTTTTTCTCTGCTTAGGATCAGGCAGCGGCCCCCAGATAGGAGTAGGGGGTACTGGGGTAGGAGTGGGGGAAAGGCGGCAGGAGGGAGACTGTGCAGCTCAACGTAGTCGTGTGTACAGCTCATGGTCGGGGCACAGAACAGACTGAAGGGGAGGAGGGTTCTGTTCTGGGGACCAGCTGGTTCCTTTCTTGCAGCCAGTGTCTAGGGAGCAGTTCTGCCCCCATCAGAATGTCAGACAGGGCTACCCCAGCCTCCTCTCACTAGGTAACCATACCATTGATCATCCTAAATGAGGTGCATTCAACAGTGAAAACGGGCCCTGTTAATAAGACAGCAGGTGTGAACCAGGACCACCTGGGCAAACCAGGGTGTGTGAAACCCCCTGTCTCCCCACAGGTGAAATGCAACGAGCAGCCCAACCGAGTGGAGATCTATGAGAAGACAGTGGAGGTGCTGGAGCCGGAGGTCACTAAGCTCATGAAGTTCATGTACTTTCAGGTAAGGGGTCAGGGTGGGTCTGGCACCAGGACACCTGAGAAGGTCCCCACGCTTCTAGACACTGGTACTGGATTTCTGTGCCATGTTATTTATTCATTCGGCAAACACTTCCTAGTGCCCCGGACCCACCCTGGGGTGAGCAAGACAGACAAGCCCCCTCCCTCCATATAATTCACATTCTAGTGGGCAAATGAGTGTGTTCTGGGTGGGAGGAGAGACTGACAATTAACAATACACAACAGAACAAGTGCTGTGAATAAAATACAATGAAAGAACCTCTGGCATGGAGGGTATCTTCGACATGGATGCAGCTTTAGGGACGGCCTCCACGGAGGTGGTGTTTGAACTGAGATCTGTATGATGTGAAAGAGGCTGGCAGGTGATGATCCAGGGGCAGAAGGTTTCAGGCAGAAGGAACTGCAAAGGCAAAGGCCCTGAAGCCTCAAGGAGCGTGACATGTTTAAGAAATGGAACGAAGCCAGGGAGGCTGCATAGTGAGCAGGGTAGGCAGGGACCTACTCATACAGGGCACTGCAGGCCAGGAGAAGAATACCTGGATTTTCTTCAAGCACCACGGGAAGCCGCTGGAGATTTCTGGTGACATGATCTGATCGAGGTGTTCTGGCTGCTCTGTGGTTGATGGACGGGAAGTGGGGGGCAGCACAGGTGTCAGGGGCAGGAGGGGAGAAGGGTGGCAGCAGGGAGACCAGCTGGGAAGCCAAGAAGAGTGAGCATTTAAAGGAGGAAAAGAGAAAAGACAGCCAAAGCCTCCTGTGAATGAAAGGTAAGAGAGCAAGCTGGTTATTATGCTTATTTGGAAGCCATTCAGGAATGCAGGCTGATGGCTTTAAGGCCACCCTCTGCCCGGGTGGGAGTCCTGCCACACACTCTGTGCCCTCCACGTGTATTTATGAGCCTCATAAGTAGGCCTGCAAGCACTGGCCCAGAGTCTGCCCTGCGCCCAGCTCTGTGCTGGCCTTCTGGGGGAGGGAGATGGGAACATCTGGGGAAGGTGCAGATAGAGCCTTGAAGGCAGAGAAGCCCAGGGTTCTGTCGCATTCTGACTGTGTTCTGTTAGTTATTTCAGACCTCTGACAACTTCAGTTTTCTTGCCTTGGAAAGAATGCCTGTTTCACAGGTTTTCTCTAGGGATAAATAAGGTCTGCTTGTAAAGTGCCCTGTTTGTAGAGCCCTCATTACAGAGCAGGTTTAACAAAGGGCAGCTGCTGTTATTAGCATCATGCTCCTGCTCTCGAGGAACCTAAAATCTCTTCGGGAAGGCAGGTTCAAGAGAGAAAAGCTACCCCCAAACTAAGTATGTGCTAAACTGAGGGCCTCCTGACAGGAGGTATTTAGAGAAGGGAGGAGCTGAGATAATCTAGAACTGTGCTGTCCAGCAGCCACATATGGCTGTCTACATGAATTAAAGTTAAATAAAATTTAAAATGCAGATCCTCCATCGCACTCGCCTTTTCAAGTATTCAGTATCCACATATGATGAGTGGCTGTTGTATTGGACAGAGCAGGTATGGAACGTTTCCATCATCCCAGAAAGCTGTGTTAGACTCTGGAAGGAGAAAGTGTGGCTTGATCTGGTCTTTGAAGGCCTCCCTATCTCCTTTCCTTGCTTTATTTTTCTCCATAGCAGCTACCACATTCTAGTATAGAGAATTTGTTTATTTTGTTTTCTGTCAGCCATCACTAGAATATAAGCTCCTTCTAGTAGAGACTTTTTCTTCCGTTTTGTTCCCTGCTTTACCCCAGGGCCAAGAATGGTGCCTGGCACGTGGAAGATGCTCAGTAAACACCCGTTTATTGGATGAATGAACCTCTTTCTCTGAGCATCCCTCTCACTCTCCATCTCTGCCCCCTTATTGTCTGGTGCCTGCACTGTCCTAGGTCTTGGGATACACACATGAACAAGACAGTGTTTTCCCAGCAAGGGCACGGTGGATGAATTCATTGGTTTGACTCACTTGGGGGCAGGTTCTGGGCTTCCCTCTAGTAATCAGCTTAGTATTTCAGCACACCTCTGAGAAAGACCTCTGGGCAGATTTGCCTTTCTCTAAATGTCCAGGCTCTGACTAGGGCCCCAGGGGAGGCTCGACCTCACCAGAGAGTGCAGTGAGGCACCCCACCAGGCCGCCGCATCCTGACCCGCTGCCCCTCTGCGTGCAGCGCAAGGCCATCGAACGCTTCTGCAGTGAGGTGAAACGGCTGTGCCACGCTGAGCGGAGGAAAGACTTTGTCTCCGAGGCCTACCTCCTGACCCTGGGCAAGTTCATCAACATGTTTGCAGTCTTGGACGAGCTGAAGAATATGAAATGCAGCGTCAAGAACGATCACTCTGCCTACAAGAGGTCAGGGCCCCTCCCCCTCCCCCATCTTCCTGGGCCGCTGGCCAGTGGCAGGAAGAGGACAGTGCCCTTCTAAGAGTCTCCTTCTCGGAACCAAGCCAGCCATTCCACAGACATAGTGGGGTTGGGGGCCTGCCTCTGTTTCTGCAGTTTAAGGAATAAGGTGCAGAGCTGAGTTTTGGAGAACTGGGTCTTGGCAGGGTTTTCTGTCTCAAGGTGGAATCAAATCCTCATTTGTCCCACCTGTGGAGCAGCAGCATTTTCTGTGTCCCACGCAGTCTGAGATTATATTGTGATTAATATAATCATCAAATGGTCACAGGAGTCATTCTCTGCAAGAATCAGAAAGCTAGTTCAAACTGCTTATGTAGAGGAAGAAACTGCGTTGGCTCCCAGAACCGAAAAGTCCTGGTCAGCTTGATCCAGGTACTCAGGGGATATTGTTGGTCTGGTTCCCTCTACCTCTTAGCTCAGCTTTCCTCAGTATCAGCTTCATTCTCAGGCAGGCTCATGCCCTGTGTGGCCTCCAGCAGCTATAAGCGTCCCGCCAGCCAATGTAGCGACCCCAGCTCCTAAGGATGGAAAGAATGCTCCTCCTTGCAAATACTTTTGCAGAAGTCCCAAGGAGGAATGTCATTGCTCCAGCTTGGGTCATGTGCTGATCCCTCCATCAGACGCTATACTATGTATGTGTGTGTTGGGGTGGTGCTGATGGGAGGGGTGCTCGTCCTTGGCGTCAGGTGGAGGTCAGTGTCAGCTCACAAGAAAGAAGGACTGAGGGGGGCGGAGGGGTCAGTCCTCTCCAGAAGTTTGGATACAGCCACCCAAAAGTGGGGGAGGGCAGGCGAAAGTAGCCAGTATACTTTGTGTTGGTTGAGGCTCAGATATGCTCCAAGGTGTCTGTACACATCTCTTGGGAAGGATTTTCTGTGTCACTGCTGAAGAGGGCCCCCCTCCAGAGCCACATCCTCCCAGGGCTCCATGGTAACTGGAGAAAACAGACAACATACGGATCCTCACCATTTTATCCTCCTGAGTGAATTGAAACCTGGGAGTACCCAGAAGACAAAGCCCCATTCAGAAATGGCAATTTCACAAAGATTCCATAGGCAACTAGCTCATGGTACAGTATCTTCCCCACAAATTCTCCCCAGATGTGGCCAGCTGCTTCCATCATGGTCACAGCCAACATGCTCTGTGGACTGGCTAGGGTCATGAGCAAGACAGGTGTCTTGTCTGTATTCCACGGTCCATCGTGACACGGGCTGCATCACCTCCACCTCCAGGTCAGGCTGGAGAAGTCCCAGTGCTGTGATTTTCTCCCTTTAAGTCCCGCTGTGTTCCCCACACCCATCATCCCTTTACCTGTAATCCCGTCAGGTTAAATAGACTTTGGTTTTCCATACAATGTTTAGAAACATTGAGGTTTTCCCACAAATAACACAATACGCAATGAAAACAAAACATCCTGCTGCCTGCAATTCTTCTCCGTGACTTACCGTGCAGTTTCACTGGAGGTCACTGTGAGGTACAGGGATGCCCGTTTCGCTCTATCCTACCACAAGCTGGTTGATGGGATGTTAGCTGCCCTTAAACTTTCCTGGTCGTTGAGCTTCAGTGCGTTCTTGCCTCCTAATTTCAGATACCCTTATTACAAGGGTGCAGACAGCTCCTAATGAAATGACTCCAGAACACGCTCTCCTTTGATGTTAGAATCACTTGTGATGTTCAGAGCCCCTTAACCTCAGGGGTAGTGTATCCGGGTTAGCTGAGAAATGGGGCCCATGAGGCCCGGCTGAGGCCAGCTGTGCTTGATCATCCCTCTCTGCAACACCCCGTCCCAGGGCGGCACAGTTCCTGAGGAAGATGGCGGACCCCCAGTCTATCCAGGAGTCACAGAACCTGTCCATGTTCCTGGCCAACCACAACAGGATCACCCAGGTGATGGCAAACCCATGTTAGTCCTGGCCTGGCATCCCACGACGCAGGCCAGGGCCTGGAGGTTTGGGAGGGAGGGCCCACGAGCAGAGGAGCTCTGTCCAGATCATCCGTCCCCTTTGCCCTACTCAGGCTTTAAGCTGCAGACTTAAGTCTCCCCTCCCAACCACAGATGGCCCTTTCACCCTCTCCGGAGTTTGTTCTCTGAAAACCTTCTAGCCAGTGTTCTGCCTCTGCATCGGTGTAGATTGAGAGCTTGGGTTCTGGAGTTAGACCGCCTTGTTTTCTCATCCTAGACCCTCCACTGACCCACTGTGAGGCCTCGGGCAAGGTCTAAGCCTCAGTTTCCTCGTCTGTAAAATGGGGCTGTTGTTTTGCTACTCATAGGACAGTGGTGAGAAATAAATGAGATACTATATAAAAAGCCCTTAGCGTGTAGAGCCTGATAGACAGCAAGGACATAAAAAGATGTAGTCATAGTTGCTGCCGCCACTTTGCCAGGGTATTCCCACTCAGCTGTGGCTCTCACGCTCTGCCTGACTTAAAATAACCTGTCTTGTGCATCTGTCAATTCAGCCTAAACAGGCACCAGCAG